TACCAGAATCGTGATACTTAAGCTGCAGTAACAGAACAAACAGCACTTGCAGCAACCATTACTTCCTAACAAGAAAGAGAGGAAATCTGCAAATAGCTTGAATGGAAAGAGAACGAAAAAACATAAAGATAATTTACCCATGGAGGAGGAAGTATACGAGCCTCCACCGACGCAAGATTAGCACTAATTTTGATGCCAAACTCCTTAGCAAAAGGATCTTCACCGTAGGCATTGTGATGAACCGTCTAGCATATAGAAAGAAATCATAATGTTTAAGATCAACCACAAGTCTTTAACGAATATGACCTTAAAATACTATGATAGATTGCACAGTCAAGCAGAATAGCAGACGGCCAAAACAGGATCACATCTCCCACATTTGCCTATCAGATGCTCCTAGAAGCCCAATTAGAAAATAATGGTAACATCTTACGTTCAAGGCAAATCATAGGTTTAGGCAAAGACATCCAACTATTGATGAAGAAACCAACCCCAAATTCCCTACAAAAGACCATCTAGAAATCAATCTTTGTTAAACTAGTCTTTGGTTGGGTTTTGGGTGATTAATCATTTATTTGGAGTTTAGGAGTTGTTGGAAAAAAGGTCTACGCCCTAGAACTTTACAGTAGGCCTGACCCACATACTATAACCACATTAGGTATGGTAGCCGTCATGTAACCCCCTATATAAGGGAGTTTTTGGTGGATCAACAAAGTAACTCATTTTTTGGTTGTAATTGGGTGGAAGGTGAATGAACTTAGTCTCCCGTTAAAAAAAAACCCAGACTCCAAGTGTGGGAATTTCTCTTGTTAGGTTAAAAAGGGCCTAACAATCTTCCGTGCAGAAATCGCCACAAACCCACATTTGAGCAGGATCATATCCCCAACTTATAGATGGATTAGACCAGCCAGAAGAAATTGCAGAAAAAAACATATCCTTGCACGAACAATCCCCCAAACACAAGTAATACAAACAAACAAAGCAATTTACTAAATCAATTGAAGAAGTCAATTGGAATATAGAATAGCATACCTGCATGATATCATTTTCTCGTTCTTGAGGGCGTTGACAGGTCACCTTCAGCAAAGCAGTAATCTGCCTCTCATTCAACCTCTTTGAGTATCGCTGGCCCTCTACAATCTTGCATACCTATAGAGTGGCATATAGTAGCATAAAACACACAAACCTTCATGAAGATCTAAAGAGAAACTTTGCAGTTACCTCCATTGGCAAATAATTTGGCCTGTTCTGATTCCCAACTTGCAAGCATGGCAACTGAATGTGCTGAATACGGAAACCATATGTTTCGTGGAAGTATTCAACAACAGATTTCAGGGTGCCCTTTTCATCAACAGGGAAACTGAAAAGGAGATTACTGCGTAAAGACCTTATTTCATTTGATTCAAAAATTAAGAAAAAAACAGATAGCATAAATTTAGACACCTACGTCAGTTCTCGAGTGGCCATGGAAGTCAAGCCAGAAATACGGTACTTTCTGCGCATATTCCCGCGGTGCGTCACTTCAACCTTGACACCTCTAAGGGCCTTTTTGATCTGTTGACACAAAGCAGAATTTTTGACAAACAGAGGCGCATTAACATAGTAAAATTAAATTCTACTTGGGCAGCATGGGCAAGATGTGCTTTACATGCTTCACAGCTCTCAACAAAACAAGTACAGCAAAGAGGATAACCAACACAACTACAAACAGATCAGAACTTGATAAAACAAAAAATGACAACAGAATTGCACCTTCACACGATCAGCATCAGATAAAGGTCGGGATGAAATATCCCGATTCAACAACTGGCACACAAATTCAACGACAGGAAGTGGCTCAATGAAAGCTGTCGATGACATATCTGCAGCAGACATCAAGGGGATCAAGACAATACAAGAAGCCAAGATATGAAAAATTAATGAAACTAGCCGGCCAGCCGTGATACCGATATTCAGTGAAAGACCCATCTGTGTAGGACGAATGCTTTGGTAAAACCCACGCCAGCTTTCCAAACCTTCACCCAAAGTTTGCTTTCTCCCTAGACGAGGGGAATAAAATGACCGGCCCACAGGGCAATACCTGTCTCACTGATAGTTAGAAAACTATGCCAGTAATTTCAAAACTAAGTACCGGACTACAAATGCACTACAAGTACCGGGTAGTTGGCAGCTCACGGAGAACAATGTCGAGGACCTGTAGAGCTTCTTGTGGCGCATCAGCTTGCTTCCCCTGTAAAAACAATCCTAGGTGATGCAGATCAGCTCGTGCGGCAAGTTTGATGATGATTTTGAAATCCCGCTCTCGTCTGCGGAAGAAAAAAAACTGACTTACCCCAAGCACTCTAACACAATAATAACCAAAAAGAAATTGCAAATCTTAACCTTTGTCCCCCTGATCCATCCTCCTCATCAACTAGGGTAACTTTGAACTCCTTGGAGACAAATGGAAGTGGTCCAGCAGTATACAGACTCTTTCGACCATCATAGGCCGGAAGACGCCTGCCAAGGTGTGAGTCACGGTACAATTTCACAAGCTGATACATCACAGCCCGGTTGACGCCTCTGGATGAAACCTCGGGAGTAATGGTAACCTATGAAAAAATAACAGGAAAATGCACATTAAATTGGTAGACTAAGACCAGAACCAGTGGCAAGGAACAGAATAGTCGATGTTTAAGTCACGAGGAATGCGAAACTTACATCATATTGGTGCAAATCTTTGTCAGGCAATTCAGCAAAGAAATGGTTTGCCTTAACAATGCATCTCTTGCCAGCGATGCCCGGACCAGGCCGGAGAGGAAACTTGACAGATTTGCTAGAAGATGGCAAAGGCTGGACTGCCTGGCTGGGAGCTTCTTGCTGGACAGAAAGCTGTTGAAACTGGTGTGATAAAGCAGAAGGCTCAGCCCTCTGAGTAGGACTCACCTCGGACGGTGGGGGCTGAGAAGACACCGGTCGTAACATAGGTGAGGTAGCTTGGTGCAGCTCGGGAACTGATTGTCTCTGTGGTCCAGGAGCAGGTCCACCTCCACGGCCACCGCCATGACCACCACGACCTCCTTGATGTGGTGAGCCACCCCTTCCCCTTCCCTGGAACTCTGGTGGTCCACCAAATTGTTGTTGCTGAGGTGGGCCATGCCCTCGACCCGCACCACCACCAGTGTGCTGAGACTGAGGACTCCATCCCCTTCCACCTTGGTTTCGCCCACCACCTCCTTGGTGGTAACCACCACGCTGAGGACCACGGCCTCCCCCTGCACCAACTTCATGGGACTCGGAGCTCTCACCGCTTCCATCACCTCTCTTCTTCCGCACCATCCTGACTAGTACTGCTAACGAACAAGCGATTATGAGAGGGACTCAGTAAAGCAAGAGGGAATCAAACATAGTGCACCGGGACACTCAGTAATTGCGCACTTCGAAGATCATCCATGAACACCAAAACATATACATCGATATGCAAAGGTATGTAACGATGGCAGAAATGAAAATTTCTACATAACCCACCGAGAAGAGACACCCAGATGACTAATCAGGCAACGTAGTGGAAATCAAGCACGAAACTACCGATGAAGCGAGAAAAATGACCCAAAAAATGCTGAGTAGAGACATCAGGTAAAGGGAAACGAATAGATCTAGTGAAAAACCGACAAATCAACGAGATCAACAGAGAAACACTACCTAACAGTGAAACAGAACAAAAAATACAGCATATAACCCTAAATCGCAGCCAGGAACAGCTGAGAGCAAGATCGAGAGGAAGATGGACGGATTTACCAGAAAACCGCTGCCTCTGCGCCGGAGAACCAAAACTTCTCTCTCCCTCGTGCAAATGGCAATGGGATGACGAAGGGGTGTCAATACTAAAAATGGGAAAACCAACTCCTGGGTTTCTTAACAAATGCAATGAAGAGAGTGAAAACCAAGGGTTTCACAAGTGAAAAAATTCCAAAACTACCCTCCAGAATGACGTGGATAGACCATTGTCGAGGGTAGTCTCGACCAGCGATGTTGTAAATATGTATTTACATTACATTTGCATCGACCAAGGTCAAATATTTTCGAGCACATGGGATATATATAAAGAATATATTAAAGTTAAACTTAAAATTTTAGTTTTAGTTTTACTGAATACAATATAAATATTTATATTTTCAAATAATATAAATGAACAAAAATAAAATTATACATCAGTTAATCGTTTAAATATAATTCTTCGAATTTTATATGGTATAAAAATATCAATTAAATTTTGGTAATTAATCTTTTTTCAAGATTATCAATTGAAAATATAATACAATCAATATTTGAATCCCGTGATAGATATAAAATAAGGTATTTTTTTCTAAAAAAACAAAATACTAAAAATTAGGATAGATTTGTCTTGATTTATATATAGATAATTAAGTTAAATACTAACAGAATCAAACGGTACCATTAACTTATATTTTTAATGCGAAATTAAAGATGGAGAGGCTTGCATTATTATAAGAGCACGTAGTTGTTTATGGAGAAACTATTGCAGGCGTTTGTGTGTTGAGATCTGAAAAGATGCTGCCGGGCTGTGACGGATTGTTAGACCTGAGCATTGGCTCCATTTGCAGCGTTAGGCTTATCTGTGGGTAAACCCCCGAGCTCTTCTCCTATGTTGCCACTTCCTTTTCAAATCTAAACCTGAGAGCCTTATTGCCTCTGATGAACCAAACGGGAGCATGGAACAGGATAGCAATCGTGTTTACACACCAGCTCTAACACAGTTAGATAAACAAAGATTATAACTTAACACCAGGAGTGGCTGGCTCAATTGGTAAGTAGGTAAGTATGCGTAAAGAGTGCTCCACCCCAAGTTCAAACCCCACTCAAATCACATATTATCAAAAAAAAAATTATAACTTTACAATAGAAGGCATTCTCGATCAAGTAGCCTGGAAAACATGGATGGAAAGGGAAGAACCTGGAGCTCGGTGGTGATAGGCAGCATCCTTCGGCATAGACTTCCCGGGCTCTGGTACACTATTTGTCTCTACCCAGAACATAAAATATTTTTGTCCTCAACCACAAGAGAGTACATCAAAATCAAGAATACGAATGCTCTTTGTTGTCTGATTTTAGACCAATACAATTACAAATCACATTTTCCCAATACCGTCTTTCCTTGGGACAGATTCCTGAACATCCATTCGGCACCAGTTACCCACAAAGGGAGCCATCTGATCAACCTTATCATACAGTCCTAGAAGTCCACCAGTGTGTATGAATAATATTTTCCTCCCTTCCCATTTCTGGGGATCCTTGGCCATCTCTTGCATCAAACCATATGCAGCCTTCCCGCTGGACAAACACCCAAAACAGAATGCCAATCTCAATCTCATTATAGATTATATATATGATACCTGAGGCCATGGCACAATCACGATCTTTTCATGTGCAGTTTACAAGGAAAAGGAAGTAATCGATTAAGAGTACAGGACCTGTAAACAGGATCAAGAATAACACCAGTGGCATTCGCTATTTCCTTTACTAATTGAAGCTCCTCCAACGTGTTCATGGCATATCCTAGTCCTTTGGCCTGCAAGAACATAAGAACTAACACAAAAGATAAAGCATATATGCACTCAACAAGAAACCTTCATGAAAAATTTCAATTTGTTTGTGCGCTGAGGAGCCTAGAGATATCAATGGAGGCCAACACAGACAGTTGAGAAGGAGCACCAGAGTCCACCTGAAAATAACCCTGAAAAGAGAGAGCGCATGAAAACTAAGAAGGATTAAGAACACTCACATTGTGGATTCTAACAATATCGTGTGAGCTAACGCCAGCTTGCAGTTCATCAAGAAGGTCTTGAACGAAGTCGTAGAAATAATCAGGATCATCGCAAACCGAGAAAGCATGAACCTGCATGCATGATTAATGAAACATTACTGGGCTACCTCTCTGATTCACATTGAGAGATGCACCTCAAACCAAAGGAAAGAGAACCAAAACCTTTGCTTTTAGGGGACCCAGCCATGATCCCAACGAAATACCAGCAACTGTACCTCCGCTAACCATCAGAAGAGAATAGAGATGAGACTGAAGCCACACAAAAAAAATGGATAAGAGAAGTTCACAAGGTAAGCAATGCAGAACCTGCCACATGCTACGATGATATCGTCAAACTTTAAGCCATCAGACCTACTCTGAAGCTGCTGCTCAATTTCCCTTGCTGCTTCGATATATCCCCTAGATGGTAGCGTAGTCAGTTTAGCTAACAAAAGGGATCAAAAGGCAATTGCGTAGTGTATAAAGAATCTCAAAGAAGTGATAAGACCAGGCAGGCAAAGAAGTTGTAAAACCCCAGAAGCAGCATTTCGGTAACTTGTCAGAATGAGAAGCAATGCTCACCAAGTTCCCAGAGTATTGGATCCACCGACTGGAATAACATAGGGCTTTCTCCCTTCATTTTCCAACCTCTCTTTGAGAACATCAATCAGGGCCTACCATCATCATCATCAACATGAACATCAGCCATAAAAAAAGTCGAGATTTCCTCTGGAGGAGAAGTGTACAAACTAACCACACTGCCAATCGAGGCATACTCTTCCTTAGAGATGAGGTTAACGTGAGCACCAACGAGACGCTCGACCAGGAGATTCCCGACAAATCCAGGATCATCGTTGACCAGAAGCTACGACGAAAGGAGATGATGGGTGAGACTGAGACCCGACAAATATGATAGGAATAAGGAAGGGAAGGGGACCTTGGAGGTGCGGAGAATGAGATAGGGACGGAGGTTGAGATAGTTGGAGACAACGGAGGTGGCACGGCAGTGGTTGCTCTGTATGCCTCCGATGGTGATGACAGAATCGGCTTGCTGCGCCACCGCCTCCGCCATCAGGAATTCCAGCTTCCGGACTTTGTTGCCGCTCAGCTCCATGCCTGTGAGATCGTCGCGCTTTATCCATATTTCCGTGCCATTAGGGAGGCCGGGAAGATGCCACCTGTGGATCGGAGTAGGCACCTTAAGAAGAAGAAGATGATGAAGTCAGACAGAGAGAGAGAGAGAGAAGATGAAGTCGCAGCGACAAGGAAGAGAGAGAAACAGACGTGAGCGAGGGAGAGGGCGCTAGATGGAATGGGACGAAGGTGGGAGGCCCATGGAGGAGGAGAGTAGGGCTTCATGGTGAGAAATTCCGCCATGGATGACGCAGACATTCTTCGCCTTCCGAGCCCTGTAGCAGCTGCTGAGGCGGTGACTATGAGCCGTCCCCATGCCATGACCCTCTCTCCCTTTAACTTATTCCCTTCCTTCTCGCTCTCGGGCCAAAACTTACATAAACGAAGGGTTGGTAGCTGAATTAACACTAATTGGGTGGAAATTTGGTTGGTTCACTTATGCCTAAACCAATCCCCCGGTTAATCGAATAACATTTAATAGCAAAATATAGAAAATTCTAAAATCGAACTCCATGTATAATAAACTGAATCGAATAAAAAATAAATAGATATAGATTTTTTTAAAACCGATAAATAACAATTGTATGCAGAAAACAAACATTTTATTGTTAGAATTCGAATTCAAAACAAAACCGAACCAAATCTATAATAGAAAGAAACCTTGCGATATAATTTTTTTTTTTTAAACCGAACATGAATTGAATACAATTGAACCAAAAACCGGAATGTCCCCAACAGCGAAAAGAATGACAAGAACCTCCTTTTATATGAATGATCAGAGTGTGTTTTCATATGGGTTCGTCTTTTACTCTATGTGACCCAGAAACCATTTTTAACGGTCACTACACGCGCCACCCCCAAAAAAGGATTCGAATAAAAGGGAGAAGTCCTCGCGAGTCACGAATCGTACATACATGTATTCAAAACGCCGGAATATGGAGGATTAAAAAAAACCTCATAATTATAATCATCAGTATGTTCCCTCTTCTTTATTTTTGGATCACAATCCCTCCTCGGGCTGGCACTGCTCCTTCACGGCTCTGGCTGCTGCTCCGTACCATGCGGCTGCAGCCATTGCACCTGGGTCCGGAACCGATGCAAGAATCTCCGCTGATATATAGCTCGATCTCCCGGCCTAAAAGCAAAATCCCACAACCAATCACAGCCAACATGTATCATCACGGGTCATTTTTAGGTCACAATAAGGAAAGAGATCTCTCACCTGAGCTTGCATCTGGATGGTTGATTCAGCTCCTGCAGTTGCAGCTTCAGCCGAGGCGATAAACGCAGAGGCGGGATCCGTCCCATCACTCAGCTTCTGCTCTCTCGTCAAAATCCAAAAAATAAAAAAAAAACTCAGTTAATACTTGCAATATTATCATTCTTCTTTTCTTTTAGAGCATTTGAAATAGGTGGTCACCTCCTCAAGCACTTCAGAAGCCGGTATGAGTGCGTCTAACATGGTCCTGAAACCCGCAGTTGCTCCACCGTATTTACTGACAGCGGAAATTGATGACTTTAGTGCTTCAGACCCTGAATCAGGAGGACAACATCCTAGTCAGAGACACTCAATGTGCTTCTGTAAGACCAAATCACATCTAACAGACATTGTCTCACATTGTTTGGGAGTGACATCCGTCTGAGGGTTAGCTTTTAGCTCTGCGTATACTGCCTTGCAGAGAAGGCTGTAACTGTTTTTTTTTTCCCACAAGAGACACATCAATGAATGTCAAAAAAGTATAACTACATCCACAACCCAACTGACGGTATATAACTTAGATCAATTAGTTACATGATTCCGCTTGTTCCTCCCATGACTCTTCTGATCGATGAACCAATTTCATTCACTGTTTCAGCAGCATCGTTAAGCGGGTAACTGCAAAAATAAGGTACGCAAAGGCGTTCACTTTTTTTTTACAAAAAACAATTGGCCCTAAGGATTAATGTTAACAGCAGAAAACCTTAACAGAGTAGAGCAAATTGTAAGTGGGGTTAAAAGAAATTAAACTCACTACTTAATGTCCTCCAGAACTGCTGTTGCACCTCTGTTCATCTATGCAGGGAATGACCAATCGTGTGTAAGGCAACATGAACAAAGTAGCAGTTTGCCCGTAAAATCTAAAGGTCAGAACTTACTGTTGAGCCACAGTCACCATCGCCCACTTTGCCATCCCATTCGTTCAAACTATCCTTTAGACTGATTACCGCACTTGCTGCCGCTTTAATAGCTGCCTCGAGAATACGGCCTTGTTGACTTAACTCTTCTGGCTGGCTTAGAGCCTAATATCGCCAAAAAGGAAGTTAGCATATCCAGTTGTCTGAGTTTTCAAGTAATTAACAAACTTTCAACACCATGAGAACACACATACTCTTAAAAAGAATCCTGTTTAATTCAAAACCCAGCTCATACCTCCTCATTTTTTGTTGACCGGGAAGGGGGCAGCGGAACAGGAATCTTTGCTGGTGGACGATTTCCTGTGGAGAATGATCATGCTTGAGCTCAGAAGTTTTTTTTCCCAACCATAAAGAATCAAATGTACAATCGCCAAAAACAAGATGACATATTCTATTCAATCTTAAGCTCCAAAGAAACGATGACAGAAATAACAAGAAAAGTTGGCAACATCTCACAGACCATCTGTCCCGACAGGCCAATTCGGAGCCTTTGTCGGAGCATCCAATCGGTCCAAAATAGACTGGTCAGCCTTCATGATTGAAATTGAAAATCCTGGGAAAAAAACAAAGTGGTTTCAGAGCAGCAGCGGGTGTGTGGTACTCTAACTAAATCATGAAAACAAAAAGATTCACCTGCCATATCAAGAGAAGTCATAAATAATCCCGTGTACACCCTGTCAACGGCAAGTCCGAATTCCAACTGCAATTTAGGGACAGCTTTACCAGCAGCAATCATAAGCTCCATTAGAGGAGTGCCACCTAGGCTGCCGAAAAAGAAGAAAGAAAATAAGAATAAGAAATATTAACAGCCTCTTCTGAGAAACAGCAGCCATATATACAGAACTCGTTAAAGATACTCTTCAGACAAAAAACTGGCTGTCACAACTGAGACATTTTGCCTCCGCTAAAATGAACAAGAGCAAAAATATTATTTAACTAGGAAGATACCAAGAACCGGCTTACCCATTAACCATGAGAACCACTCGGTTACCACGTGTAATAGGAACATAATTGGTCTCCTGCAGAGATAAGATAGTTGGAAGAATGCGCTGACAAAGGAAACATAACCAAGGGTTTTCCCTAATTCCATTTTGTAGATAGAAAGGTAATAACAAATATAACTATATATAATTAGGGAATGAAGGAACCGCAAGAACAAGAACCCCGGATATGCACATACAGGACTTAATATCTGCTGAAGAACATGGGAAACCACAACATCCACAGGCTGAACCTCGACCACAGCAGCACCGGGTTCTCCATGCTGAGAGAAAAATTGAACCGATACAAAGTGTCGAGACATAATCCAATGCACCAAAACATGGAAAAAAATATACTAAATCTTAGGGGGATTAATGCACCAAAACATGGTAAATCTTAGTGGTGGGTATGGGTCAGGTACAGATATTTTGATTAAACATTCATAAATCTATAGATTACACATGAACAATTTATAAAATCATTGAAAAATGTTGATGTTCACAAAATAAATAGATCATAAACGATTGTTTTTTACATAAATAAACAAAGAAAAAAACAACTAGATCATGGTCATGGATATCTTTGTAATTTTCTAACAACTTGAGAGTATAATGTTATTTTTCAACTATTCGGGTACCCACGGGTAAAACCTGATCTGAAAATACCAACCCGAACTCGAACCCGAATTTCGGGTTTCAAACTATTAAAACCCGAACTCGATCTCATTGTAAGGCGGGTACCGGATTTTCGGATACCCAACCCTCAATTTGGGACGCATACCCAAAATTCGGGTATTTTTCCCCACCCCTGCTAAACCTTTCCCATGTAAAAAAAAAGAAAGAAAGAAAGAAAGAAAGAAAGAATGAAAGAAAGAAAAAGGTAGAAAACGTACAATTCCAAGGCCGAGTTCCATCTTCTCTGACCCCAAACGATCAGATGTAACCTGTCCAGGAAGAGTGCAAACAGATAAAGCGACACCCATGGTCCCAACCATCTCTGATGCAGAGAAAGCCCGGCAGCCGCAGCTGCTCCAGCAACCTATCCTTCACCAAGTAGAAAGTGTAAGTTGAAGTTTACATAAACTTTTCACTTCAAATTATTTGTGGATTCTAAGCTCACGGAAACCAATATAAACCAAGCAAATAAGAACATATTAAAGTTGCCTGAGTGTTCAGATATCAGACAATTTCAAAAGGTACAATAAAAAAATGAGATCAATTGACTGCAAATGCTACTAAACCGCACTAGCTTACAGAGTGCAGATAGAGAAGGAAGGGCTTAGGGAAAGGGAGAGGGACAACCTTATGAACAAGGATTGTTCCTGCTAAGCCTCTACGTCCAGCTATGCCACGAGGAGGGGGTAAAGCACAATCCTCTCCTACGATCACAGTCTAGAAAAAAAAACATCTTATCATCATGTTTAGCAATGCTCTTAACTGTGAAAAAACCCACAAATAAGCAGTACCTCCACTTTGTAACCTTCAGATTTCGCTTGCTCAGCTGCCAAACCAAAGTTCAAGCGATCACCAGTATAATTCTGTTAAATAAATGAGATTAATCAAAAGATAGAAGTAAGGAATCAGTAGTTCCTTGTACTTATTGATATATATATGCAACTATCTTGCGCTGTCTATGCACCTTTACAATCAAGAGACATCCCATAGGACCAGTCACAGCTCGAATCCCCTGGAATTGGACAAAACCTTAGCATTCACACAAGAAACAAAACGAACAGGGAAGAAACCCTTGAGAGGAATTACAGCTAGGATGGAATCAACCGGTGGCGAAGCAAAAACATCTCCACAAACAGCAGCTGTCAGCATTCCTTCTCCCACAAACCCAGCATGTGCTGGCTCATGCCCACTGCCCCCTCCTGCATTATAGACGACATTGCATAAAAGAAAAAAAGCAACTCAAAAGGCAATAACCATAAATTTCCATCAGACAACTCCAACCTGAAATAACAGCGACCTTGTCATATTTTGCAGCTGAGACATCAGCTCGCAGCACAACCTTGACCTGTGAAGTCATGGAAAAGCATCAGAATCGGCATAGTGCAGAGGGTTTGCATGACAATGGAAGGTATCAAACGACATATAAATCGAAAGCTCGGATAAAGAAGTTAATAACCTCAGGGAAGCCATCCAAATACTGGAGTCCAGGATAAGTTTCGACAAGACCCTCGATGAACTCAGTTACTACATCTGCAAGCACCAGACAAGAGAAATTAACAAGCGTTCATTCTCCTCCATTATGTCAAGAAGACCGAACTACGATCTGCTACAAAATCTAGAGAGAGAAGAAAACCCTTTGCAGAAAATTTCTGCTCGGTTCATCATTAATACTCTCACCGATTTCCCATGCAGCAAATAAACACGAAACGGAGAAAAACACAGCCGAAGAAGCAACATTTCGGAGATCGCTGGGAAAATGAGAGGAGAGTAGAAAAAATACCAAACAAATTTAAGGGCACGAATGCGAACCATATGAATAAAAAAGATAAAGCAATTTCAGCAGCTAGAAAAGGGTAATACAGGGAATTCCGAGAACATCAACAAAATAGGGGAAAGGAAACGGGTAAAGAGACCCGAAATCGTGCATAATTCTCACTCGGGGAAGAGAAGGTTTCACCGGGCAAGACACGGAACAGGAGCAGGGCGAAGAGAAAAGAGAACGAACCGTTGGGGTTGTTGATGAACTTCTTAGCCGGAGAAACCATGGTGTCGGAGAATGATCAGAAGCACCTGAGAATCTCAAGAAGCTCGCATGGAAGAGAAGGATGGAGGTTTAAGGCAATCCTGAAGGAGGGAGAGAGAGAGAGGAGAGTCAACAATCGCAGGAGAGAGAGAAGACGAAGAGAGAGTGCGCCGTACGAAACACCCATGAGATCCTGAGGACCTGAGCGACAGCAACCCAAACCAAACGCAGGCCCAATCATATCGGCCCATATTGTTCCGTGTTACATTTGTTTTGTTCTTTTTTTTTAACTTTGAATTATGCCTCTGATCACATGCTAATTTTAGCAGAAAAATACCATTACGACTGATTTTGTAATAATCTGAGCATACCACTCGCCATGTTAATAACCTAACAATCGAATCGAACCATATGAAAACCAAATAATTATGATGTTTAAAATAAAAACGGAATTAAAATTAGTTCTAACAAAATAAAAAGATAATAAAAAAAATAAGTTTTTAAATAACAATAAAGCGAATTCAATGTAAAAATAGAATCATTATATTTTTTAACTAAAATTGAATATAATTGAATTGAATCCAAATAAAAATAATCGAAAAATGAATTTAAAATCCGCAGGTTTTTGGATATCCAACCTAATGGATAATTAAGATGTGACCACTGTGTACTCATTATATAACAAGGTCGAAAGGTGCGACGAGGTCAAGAATCCAAACTATGGACTCGGGTTCGGATTATTTTTTAACGACGACGGGTACTTTTAGATAACTAATCATGAATAAAATTGATATTTTAATATACTTACAATAATACCTAAATATATTTTTAAATAAAATTATAAAAATATCCTTGAAGTAAAAAAGTCAGTGATTTCTTTAAAAAATTGACGGGTTTGGATATCTTCGGATAATTGAATTGAGCGCCGGATATATTCGAACTTAACAAAAACGAAAACGAGATAATATTTTCCTAAAATACTTTAAAAAGAAACCGAAATCGGATGCCAGGATTACCCAACCCGTGACCACCTCTATTTAAAACCGTACGTTTTGCAAACCAAACCCAAAAGTTTGCCTTCGTTCTTCTGGTGTCCTCTTCCCAACTAAAAAAAACAAAGGGAGAGGAGGAGCATGTTGAACAACAACAAGAAACAGCTGAGGGCAAGGGTGGTAAGGCCTTCCTAGTATGCAGCCCAGGCCCAGGCCCAGGCCCATTTATCTTTCTTTTTTTTTTCCAAAAATAAAAAATAAAAAAAAAATGGGGCAACGTGATCTCATCTGAGAAGGCTTTGTTTGGGTTTGTTCTCTGCTGCTCAGTCAGTGTCAGCAAGTGTATGCATGTGGTCCAATAACTTATTTAATTAAATTTTATTTATCTTTTAAATGTAAACATTTCAAACGGCTATATATATATATATATATATATATATATATGATTAGTGATCTTAGTTGTATGCGGAAAGTCAGCCCATTGGTTTGTTATACTGGCGATCTTAATCAAGGATTTCTATCCTTGGGCAAATTAAGGGTTAGGGATGATGATGCTTTTAGCAAATGACATGTTTATTTTTCATTTCATGATTATTTAAGGCCGGGATAAGACAGCCCAAAAAAAAAAAAAAGAAAGAGAGAGAAAACGGCGAGAGCATCGTGGGGTCGAAGAAAGATGCGGAATATCCCTCCGCATCTCCCTCCCTCCCTCTTTTCATAATTTAGATTTTTGGGTTATTTAAAAACGATGCTCTCTCCCTCCCTCCCTGCCTCGTATAGCCATTCATCCTACACATACACAGATAGATGATGAGGGTGAGAGGAATCATGGGCCATCATCATGGTGGTTGGTGGACGGGCATGGTCGTGTGGTTCGTATGCGTGGCGGTGGTGGCGAGGGGAGAGCTGGAGAGGTTCGTGGAGGCGCCGAAGAACGATGGGTCCGTCAGTTTCCTGGTGCTGGGGGATTGGGGCCGCCGTGGTTCCTTCAACCAGTCCCTCGTCGCCCTTCAGGTTGGGTTTCTTTTTCTAAAATTAATATTTTTGTAAAATGTTTCAGCCTTTCCTGTTTTGTTATCCGCTGGAATATGCTCCAAATATGCTCCTCCTACTTGTACGGACGTAAAAAGTATGGTAAAAAAGGGCTTGGAAATAGTTTGACCACGACAGCTCAATCTGGATCTTTCTCACGGCTTCCTTATATTCGAAGGAATATGCGAAGCTACTACTATTACGCTCCTTGTTTCATTGGTCGGTACTAAATTTTAATTACGTCAGAAAATTGAACTCTTCTTCTTTTAACTGCTTTTTGGGTAGGGTCGGTTCGGGTTTGGAACGAAAATATATCGGTTACAAATATAGGTATCAATCAGTTTTTATATTATGTTCGGTTCGATTTCGGTTTCGGTTTTTATTTTTTTAAAAATTGATTCCTTTTAAAAAATTCGGTTTTTCAGAAATTTTTAAAATTCGGTTCGGTTTCAAAATTTAGAACGGTTCGAATCGAGAAAAATACCGTATTTTTCGATTCGGTTCTTCAGAATCGAACCGAAACACCGTATATAATTGGGAAAATCAATCTACGTATTTATGTTCTTTAATTAATATGCTAATTTACCCATACACATGAACAAATTTAATAAATATTCAAATCTGATTTTTTTTAAAAAAAATTTGGTGTGATGATGGGTGGCAGATGGGGAGGATAGGGGAAAAGCTGGGGATAGGATTCGTGGTGTCGACGGGAGACAATTTCTACGACAACGGGCTGACGAACGAGAACGACCCCAACTTCCAAGACTCCTTCTCCCGCATCTACACTTGCCCCAGCCTCCGCAAACCCTGGTACACCGGTCCGTCCGTGTTCCCCCTTGGACTTTACTTTTACCAGTACCCACAGATCATCGGTTTTAGGAAAACATGAACCCGTGCTCCGAGTTCTTGTCCTAGGTTTCGTTGGTGGTCGGATACACCGTGAGGCCGGGCATCCAAAAACCTGTAGTATCTGCGCCTAACCCTGCATCCAATGGATCAAAACACTCGTTAAAATATCAAATTCTTCGAGCGAGCATTTGTACATTCGATTCTTGTAATCACATATCCGATCATCAACGAAGTTGGAGACAATTTACGTGACTTCTATCTATGGTTGTGGCGCAGTTTTGGGGAACCACGACTACAGAGGTGATGCCGAGGCTCAGCTCAGCTATCTTCTCAGGAACATCGACGACCGTTGGATCTGCCTTCGCTCTTTCGTCGTCGATGTCGGTACGGTACCTACTGTTCACGAACTTTTTCTTTTTCTTTTTCATGGTTCGGATCCAGCTAAGTGTTGTTCGGGGATCGACCTTTCGTTGGCAGAACTGGTCGAGCTATTCTTCGTGGACACGACGCCATTCGTGGACGAATACTTCACGGATCCGGACGGCCACACTTACGACTGGCGAGCCATCGTCCCGTCCCGGAAGGCATACATCGACACTCTCCTTCACGATCTAGGAGACGCGCTCGACAAATCGAAGGCCGGATGGAAGGTCGTGGTCGGACACCATGCCATCAGAAGCATCGGACACCACGGAGACACAGAGGAACTGATCCATCACCTCCTCCCCGTCCTAAAGGAGAAGGGAGTGGACATGTACATGAACGGGCACGACCACTGCCTCGAACACATAAGCGACGGAGACAGTCCCGTTCAGTTCCTGACGAGCGGGGCTGGGTCCAAGGCATGGAGGGGGGACATCAAAGAAGAAACCAAGTCGGAGGAGACAGTGAGGTTCTACCATGACGGCCAGGGCTTCATGTCTGCTCGTTTCACCCGCTCTGACGCCGAGATTGTCTTCTACGATGTCTTTGGAGAGGTATTGCACCGATGGGTCACTTCCAAGCCACTTCTTCATTCCACCTTCTAAGAAACACACTCTAGTCTAGTCTTTGTTGTTGTACTACAGAGTGTCATACACCGAGAGAGCTCTATGATTGATATATATATACATATATATATATATATATATGCCCTTGTTCTTGTAGTGGTAGTGGCGAGTGAATGTATCACGTTTTGTCTATGGGTTTAGGGTTTATTGTCTGTCACTGCTTTTGTTTGTGTAGAGTATTTCGACCTCCGTAAACCTCACAGAACACTCCGATCTCAACCACTCGTGTGCAAGAAAAGAGAGAGAGATGCGAGACAGCGATGTACGAGTTCGGTACCGAGCTCTAACGCTCGGTGCCTACGTCTCGGGAAGAGGGAACCGCTATTTGCTAGGTACAACCGCCGGAGTTCCGATCGAAATCGGCACCGACACACGGAGACGAGAGATCGCCACCGCAAGAGAGAGAAACCGAAAAACGCGAACACCGTCTGAAGAAAGGAGAAAAGAACAAACCCTAGGGCTTATACTCTCGCCCTTACACTTTTACCATAACACCCCTCAAACCCTCTGCTTCGGTCCGAGGCTTCGAAAGCCTCCGATTCTCCCAGCGGGTTTTGACGAAGACCTGGCTTCTACAAATCTCCACCTTCTTCTATAAAACCTGCAAGAAAGAAACCACACACGAAGCCAACACGCCAAACATCCCTAACACGCTAAGTTCCCCGTTACTTCCATTTTTAACTCCACCTCCCGGCATGATCCAAGGCGTTCTAAAGGAGTCCTTACCGAGCGTGTCATAAACACGTCTCAGCGTGACACGACGCACCTAACCTACCCAAGCGAGTGTCCCCCGACATCTCCGCTTCCGAAGGCTACCTAAGACCTAGACTAGTATGACTCCCTAGACCGTCTAAGTGACCCCCCTCCGGTGAAGTCTATACCTCACCAATGGCCCCCCGAGGGTCACGCCCCGACATCTACCCGTCCCCCGAGTCTACCCCGACTGCCCCGAGACTAACCTTGAGTCATACTAACACACCTAACTCTTGATCCCCGTAAAGATCAAGCGACCTATGACCTCTACCCCGGACCTCTACCTACCGACTAAGGTTCTCCACGGGTTTTACCCCGTGAAGACCCCCTAGTCGACCTATAGAAACTCTACCGAAGGCTCGGAACATGTGCAAGCACGTGCTCCACCTCGAGAGGAAACGCCCCTAGCGCTACTACCCTCACCGACTCTACCCGGTGACATGGCATTCCCTCGCTCGCCCCTTCCCCTGAGCTTCCTACCCGAGGTAACTCCACCTAGACGTGGAGACCTCACCTCCGAACCTCCACCCGAGGAGTAGTCGGAGCATACTAGAAGTCCCGAGTAAGGGTACCCTGAGCTAGAAGCTCTAGCTCCTTCATCCTAGCTGCGGCCTTCACCTCCTCCACCGAGATTGTAGCTCGGGAATATTTCAGGACTTCCCTCAGCTGCTCATAAACAGGAGGTAAGGAGTTCAGCAGATAAACTGCTTGATACTCCTCCTCTACCTTCACATTTAGGCTGTGAAGGTCGGACAATAGTTTCTGGAAAATGTCTAAATTCTCCTCTATTGTCCTAGAGCTGTCCATCCTAAACCCTGACACCCTCTGCATGAGGTACATCCTATTGGGGAGAGATTGCTCTATGTGCAACCGCTCTAGTTTCCTCCAG